AACCCTGTGTGGATCCAATAAATATTGGACTTTAATCCTGCCTGAGTTTTCTGTGAGTCTGCATCTGGGGCTAGAAATTCTGCTAAATCATGACAACATCATTCACAAATCTTTGGAAGTTTTACAGTAGAAAAATTAATCTTTTGGCAAAAAGTTTTAGCAACTATAATTTTGCTTCTGGGATTTTCAATCATTTCAAACAAGGGTAAAATAAATTTTGCCGTCACAATATGGGAGTTGGACCTCTGCAGTCTCCTTAGCCCCTTCGGTAAAGTTTTTTTGTTTTTGTTTTTTGCTCAAATAAATACATTTTCCTCCTAAAGAAATTCTCACATGTGGTTCAGCTCATGTTCATACATTTCATCTGTTCACACTATATTACATCTTAATAGCCCTCAAATAACAGCCATAGCGTCTTTGTTCTCTTCGTAAAACAGCAGGCCATCAAAAATCCCTTTGTGTTATTGTATAGACTGTGAGTCACAGCATGACAAACACTTTTATAACAACATTCATGTTGTCTAAGAAACAGAGCTTACCTGTTTAAAGAGGTGATTCACTCAAATTATGCTCTGGAAAGAGACTGTTTTCTGTAAACACTGTAAACGGTTTATGTGGAGTTTCCCTGATGTGCTCATGTGTTGTGATCTTGTACAGAGACAGTTGTATGTGCAAAGCATGACATGTTACCATCTCAGTTTCTAGTTTCCCTTTGGGTTCTGCTTTTTTTTTTCTCTAAGTGTTTAAATCCAAATGTTCGGCTTTCATCTGTTAATCTGAGCTGTAAATAAATCAACTGTGAACACCCACAGATGTACATTTGTTTGCCATACCAGCCAAACAAATATCTGCCCTGATGCAAGGAGACAAGAAAGAAACAAGAGAAACAAAAACAGAATGAACATCAAGAGACAAAGGAAGCACCTAACGGAAGCAAAAGCCCCTTCTTGTTGCACACCTTTGTAGGCAGCCTTTTTTGCAGCCCACCTTAGAAAAACATCCGTGCCCCCACACGACGCTGAGCCTTGTGTTTCCTTCTGTCTTTAATCTTTGTGAAAGGAGCTTTTAGCTAGGCCAGGGAGGATGAGTGGATCTGTCAAAGCAGAACAAAGACAGGGAGGAACATTGAAGGATAACAGCAGAAAGGGAGGCTCTGTAATTTATCACCTGTTGCCCTTGGGCTGCCCGGCACAAGCTCTGGGCTTTTTTTTTTTTTTTGGTAAGTTTGTGTGCATGTGTATAAACGAAGGCATGAGGAGATGATGAATGGATACAGGAGAAAAAAGGACACAGTTATAACTCGCTCCTAAAAGGAAACATTCGACCAAGGACATTCTGCATTCCTCCCTCTACCACAAGAGAATCCTGACATATTTATGCACTAGTTTGGACCCAACATATGGAGCCAAGTGGAGCAAAAATGGAAAAAAAAAAAAAAAAAAAAAAAAGCTTGCTGAAGGGTTCCCATTATAGAAAAAAAAAAAAAAAAAAAAAAAAGCTTG